CGCTCGGAAACGATTATACGTCGTCAATACATCTTCCGACAACGTGAATTATTTGCACAGTCTTCATTCAAAACGAGTGACTGCAGCTTTTTAAGCTTTTGTGATCTGTGATGAACTCACGGCTATGTGACCAATATGCTCAATTGTAGATTTAGATCGTGATCCACCGAGTGACATCTTTCGATTTTAGTAGACGAAATGAGTGCGAAGATTATCATGGCCAGCGAGAAGTTGCTATCGAAATTTTCATCGATTCTCCAATAAGATTCAATGTTTTCGAAGCAAAATGAATTGTTGTTATTAAATTTAAGATGATGTTATTCGAGGAAATTGAGTGCAATGCGGTAATGATCAAGTTTATTTTTGTGAATGAAAGCATTTGTTATTGTAGCTGCATTTAAAAAACAACAAAGCAAATGCACAACAACAATTGATGTTCAGAGCGAGAAATCGAATACAATGAAACAGTAATGTTTCGAACAGTTGATATAATTAGTCCTTCGGCGCATAAAAATTATCCGCCGCTTTATTGTGTGCGAACTATCATTTGTTATACACAGCAGCGAGCTGTTTTTATGGCGTTCTAAGTGCTACTAGACTAGTGAACTTTTTTCGACGACAACAAACACACTAGTTGAGTTGAATCATTAGGCAATTATTCACTGAACAAACTGTATTTCGTGTTGTTGTTGTTATTATTCGAAAAACGAACAACATCTATTGAAAAATAACCTCTTTGAACGATGAGACGACTTATTCGAACGAGTCTGCTGCACTTATTTTAAAAAACTTCAATAACCATAACGAATTTTCACATCTAAAATGCGAACATATCCATAAAATCACTCATTGTCACCTACAAGTCTCTTCATTTCATAGCAAAAAAGCAAGGTGCCGTGAAAAGAACAACATTGAAAACTGGTCGACGCGAATCAAGAAATCATGCAAAACAACGTTTGAAGTTCAAGACTGAACAAGTTCAAATGATATGCACTGCCGTTATCTCTTCATAAATGCTGGTCTCTCATTTGATAATATATGGTTGTTTCGAATGACCCTTGGAATATATTCCTATCATTTTTAAAGTGATCAACAGACATTTAGGTGATGAGAGGAAATAATTATTCAAAAATGGGCATTTTATTGATGTGCGGTGATTCCTCAGTGATGACTCAGTCAGTTGCCTCTCAATCGCGTTACTTCTCTCGGCAACAACTCAAGTACGTTTAACAAAATCGCACTGCATTGTTGATACAGTTCAACCACTCGAGTAATAATTGTGAAACGAATGCTTTTTCTTGTTTGAGAGTTAAAGTAAAGAGAAGAAGTACCTATTCAATACCGTTTACAAGATGATTTTAAAGTGGAAATGTGAGTGCGAATGAATAACACATGTTTTGAGTAATCATCATCCTCTCTCACTCCAAATCTCTTCAGAAAAAAACCTTCAAATGATCGTATAAAACGATTGCAAATTGTGCATCGTCAACAGTTCCTCAGTTGGTATTCACTAGTGTTGTGTGGATTGATAACGATCACAGAATGATGTTCACGCCTCTCATTGTTTTGGTAATATTTCTGAAGTTTATTTTGAGTTTTTGTTCAAATTTATCATCTGAATTTGCTAAAGATGGTTGCAATGATAATGATCGAACGAGGAAAAATCACATTTCATTCCTTATCTGACGCAGAAAGTGCATTGAACGAGCAAACTTTTAAAATTCGTTATTGTTTCATCATATTTATGAATCTAGCAAAAACACTGAATATTTCTCTGGTGCATTTCATATTTCTTTTCGAACAAAATTCTAATGAAAAGTTTTCTTGCCGTAACTAGAACAGCTACTATTCGATCGATATCTCTGCACTCAGGTATCTATCTCATTCATCAATTTCTCCCTAATCTATCATTTTTTCCGAACGACTGAGCCACCAATTCCAATCTTGTAGCGATAGAAATCATCTTTTCAGTTTTCCTCCCACTGCAATATACAGCCAATATTTTATGTCGGCGAATTTTATCGAATAATCACATGAACTGGTTCTGGACTCTATTGGTTTCAGACTCTATTGGTTCTCGCTACAGCAGAACACCAGTGCGGTCCCAACGAGCAATGGTCGGACTGTCCGGGATGTGAACTGCAATGCGGAGAGAGTGATGTGAGAACAAGTTGAATCTTACATGAGAAATGAGTTTCCAATTCCAATGAATTTCGGATGAGCGTTAATCGAGCGAAGAACATCTGATAGAATTACCGCATATTGCAAGAATCCGTATAGTAATGTGACATTGAATAATTTCAAACTCTCCAATCCGGACTATCTCCTCTGCACTCAATTGCAATATATCACTAAGTAGTGAAAATAGTAGTCGAAACATCAGATTTTGCAGAAAATTTGCCCATTTTTGTCATTGTTCATTATAAGAGACATCAATTTTAATTGAATTGTCGAAATTAAGCAGATGATAGTGATTAAAATTTCAATTTCATTAACCATATCTTGTTCCCACCTAATGTTACCACATTTTGTAACTGTCAATTTTCAAATCGTTCAGAAACCGTGTGCAGCGATTTGTGGAGAACCGAAATGCTATTGCTCTCCTGATAAATACAGAAGAATTCCTGACGGCAGATGCATAAGGAAAATTCAATGCCCACAACATTGATTGGGTATCTTTCGATTTCTCGTTTCATTATTGTTTGAGCAAATTATGCGGTCATTCGAAAGTTGAGTATATCACATGCTTTAAAAAATCACAAATTTTACGAAATCAAAGGAAAGGTTTTGAATTTTCTAAATGCTGAATTCATTTTTCATTTTAACGCATACAAACTAAAAGCCGTCAACAGCAGTTCAAATGCTTGACAATTTGACGATGATAACATAAATAAAAGTAGATGAGATCGATAAGATTGTGATAAGGTAAGAAGAAGTAAGGCATGGTAAGTGATCAGGTAAGGTGGTCGTTTCGGCCGTGATAAGGTGCGATACAAAAGAGGTTTCTTTCTTTTCTCAAATTTTTCGCAATTGTAATTGGAAATTTTTGACTGATTGAAAATGATTAAATTGAAACATATTTCCTGATTACTGCATCATACTCTTTTTCCCAGTTTCGGAGCATTTTTCGATTAATTATTTGATCAATGGGTTGTCAACTGACAGAAAGTTATTCAGTTGGATTTTGTCATCATGAAATAAAGAGAAGAATAACAGCCATTTTGCCGTCTTAAACTTATGGCTTTTTACATTGTAGTGATTAAAAGAATTGTTGTTTAAGATACAATCCAACGATCAACATATGGAGAATGAACGGCAAGCGTTGATGAAGAATGTGACTTTATAATCTTTACAATGGACCAGAATTATCAATTTATCCGATATTGAATGTTTAATATCAACTGTTATTCTCCATGGAAAATCAGCAGAATAAATTCTAATGCAACTCATAAAATTGAACGCTTTTTTAACATCAATAAATAATCATTTCAAATCGAAACATTTTCATAAGAAGTTGATTTTGTTTCGTTTCGACAATTGATTTTGGCAGAATCGATCCACTACATTGCAATAAGTTCACACAAATATTTTACACATGAAGCGTTGAACAACATCTGACATAATTTGTACCTCACTGTTTGAACGCATGTCGAATGTTTTGAATTCATCAGCTGATCAATAGCATCATTTGAAGAGCAAAATCAAAAAAAAATGCTCAAGCATTTTTCTCTCACTATCAGCACATATCGATAAAGCTCAGGACAAAAAATTGTTCGTGTTGCGAGAACTATGTGCATATTTGGGGAAATGCGACGAAATAGCATTCAGAATAACTTTTAAGTGGTCGACTGATGAGAAATTATAAACATGGCTAAGAGTTTACAGTTTTGTTGAAGCAATCAAACAAAATGCACCCAATTGCATTGTTGTTCAAATACATTTATTTCTTCTGGTTGACTAAACCTGTGTGAAGGAAGATATCTATGAGATTCGATATCTATGAGATTCGTTCTCCAGCTTATCCCATATTCACGGTGCCAACAACATCCTTTTTAGTCGAAACTACTCCCTTCTTTCTTTTCATAGTCGACAATTTATCTAAAATCACACCACGACAACATTGTAACAGTCGAATTTTTTCAAATATAAAAATTGAATTACTCAAGTGATTTTTCGGCAATCAGAACTTATATTCCGAAATAATTTCCGTCTCACCAAAACTTAAAATCGATTATATTTCAATATTGTTGTAAATATTCGAAACTTTATCAGTCCGATTAAAAGACAACAACTCCTATGAATCCTTTTGTATTCATTGGTTTCGAGGATGGTCGATAGTGAACGTCGTGTCGAGCGTTTACATGTGAATAATGACTGGTTTCGTTCAAGTATGAATCCATGGTAAGCACTTGGCTGAGTGCTGAAGAATTTCCCAATTTTGATAATATTGCTAGAAAGAAGTTGTGCTGATATCACATTATCACCTTATCACATTATCATTTGACGTTATATCGCTGAATTTAACAGTCTCAGTATTCACCTTAATACGTTCACCTTAACAACCTTAGTTCAATCGATAGCAATCCTCCTATCATCCGAACACCACCTTCTTGTTTTATCAGTCTTCATTCTCGTTCATGTTTTATCATCATTCTTATTATTGCTTTATAATCCTCCATTTTGATAACAGCTCTGCTTCCAGTATTCTATCGAATGGCTGTTAATGCGGCAAAGGCCAGCAGAAGTTACGCATGAAAGATTCCGCATATGTGGTGAGCTGTATTGATTCAGCGTCGAAAATTGTCTTCCCGACTTTCTATATTCTTTTTAATATCATATATTGGGCCGTATTTTTATACTATACTATTTTATACTATTTTTGTACTACATACCCGATGAAATTAATTCACTCATTTGATTTCAACCATAGATTTCTTTACTTGATGAGATCACCACATTTAAATGAATATAAGAGCTTTTTTGATGTGTGTGTGTATGATTCAAGANTCCTCGTTAAAACACGGCTGCTTTCCATCCTTCAGATCCCAATTTATGAAATGTTTCCGACGATTCGATATCATCAGTTTTGGACGTTTCAAATTGAGATTCTCGAGGAATTTTTGATCAATCTGTGAAATAGGAAAAGGTTCTGCGATCAAAGATGTCACTTTCCGGTTTGTAAATGAACTGAAAGAAATATTTCTGGAGTGTTACCTCGGTGTCGTGTAATTTAAGGAACTCCAATTTAGGTAGGTCATCATCGGTCAGCTCATAGAGCGCATCACATCTCATCTTATATAGACATGATATATCCAGGAAATGGAGGTTCCTGAAGATAACGCCACCTTACAGTGTATCTTGAACTTGAATATATGTAAAAAATCGCCTGCTCAACTTGGACGGTATTTCATTACTGAACAGTGACGAGTGAGAATATTCGGCAGATCTATCAAAGATTCAGTGATTTTGACATTAAAGGAGCGCATAAATATGTTAGACGGCCCATACGATAGATTCTTGAGCAACAGAGCAAACGCCTCCTCTCCCATTTGATCATCCCGCGAAATATTGAGTGATATCAATTGCGGACAGCTGTAATCATTTCGATCATTCACGCTTTATTCATTCAAATGAAATTTTGTCGATTCTGTGACGAATTTATTAATGCAAACAATGAGGCACTTTATTACCTGCTTATAATGGCCTTTACGGCAACCATCTGAAGTAGTTCAGGACAATTCCATAGACGCAAATACTTCAGACGATACGGGAAACAGCTGGATGCGTTTTCGGATGGAAGTTCGAAGAGTCGAGCGAGATGCTCTGCTTTGAGGTCTCGACAACATGACCACTCCAAATGAATGTGTTCCAAGTTCTTGAGCGGCTTAAATGGACGAAGCCGCTCAGATGAAACAAAAATCCAGATGAAGCAACATTTTAATCACCGTTCGGAAGTCACTTTCATGGATAATACTGAATGATGACGAGCAATATTAGTCACCTTCAGTTGCAAGAACTGATCTGGAGTTGCGTACATCGAAACGTCGATCTCCAAAGTCTTCAGATTCGTCAGTGTTCCAATAGTTCCAAAATCATCCCCACTGACAACATCATTCAAATAAAGTTCTGTCAATGTTGAAACAAATTTCGACCATCGCAAAGTGATCATATTCAAACTGAAATTTTCCATAAGTAAAATATATTAGTGATTCCATCACAACTGACTGTGAACATAGGGTGGTAATAAAAGACACATGAATATCACTTGTCAGTATTACTAATACACAGTAGTTGTATTGGCCGAGCGACCATATCGAGTCTGTCGAGCAAGTTTTCGGGCATTTCACCGTGATTAAAATAAAACTGACGTAAGCGCTTGAAGGATCTCTTCGTGAGTAAATTATGAACACCGTAACGGTCGATCTGAAACAATTTGAATCACGGCACGATATAAATGATAAATTTCATACAATCTACATGAGAAAATATCAAAAATGATTGATAGAATATCTCGTGATTTCACTTACATTGGCATAGTACAAATTGAGAACCTCAACAGCAGGAAAACAACTGGCCAATTCGATGGCGCTCTCTTCGAATTCTGCAGTTGAAATTAACTCAACGAAGTTGTCATATATTTCCTTGAATATCTTATCGTATTCACTTCTTTTAGAGTCGATAAGCATGCGATGTACTAAAGCACTTGCCAGGAAAGTGTGCAATATCGAGCGTCGTCACGTTTGGCATACAATCGGGGAGTACATCAAAAAATTCATACTTTTGGTAAACCAATGCCAACCTCCTGATATCGTCTTTCATCTGAATACAGCAGATTAAGTTGAATGGTGTAGGAATATGATGATCAATCAGAAAACAGGACCTTATACTGCTGAACAGAAGCGTGTTTGCAGAGATTAATGCGAAAGTCATCCACTTATCAAGTACCTCTAAACTGCATTCAGTGATGAATGGCAATAAAAATTTCAACACACACCAAATAATCACCAGCTCTAGGAAGCGTTTGGCACTGCTTGCCTCTGGTGATTGATCGTTCACCAGAACACGAACGTTTCGATAAAATGATTTGGTTTTAGCGAATTGATTCCATCGCTTCGAAACTTTTGATACTCCATTGATGAGATCGATTGGGTGCATATATTTGAATATATTCAACAGAACAAGATCAGGAACTCTCCTCTGAAGATGATGTTACAAACTGCATGAGCCAGGATATTAACTGGGCCAGTAAAAGGTGAAATGGAAGATAGAAAATGTTTCAGAAGATGTTCATAAAGGTTTCGTAGGTTCGAATGAAGGTTAGGAAATGAGTTCTTCATTAACAGTGAGAATATAATGAGTGTAGAAGATGATTGACAGATTTCGGAACCGTGCATTAGAAATAACCACACTCCGGGTGTTGATCTAATGAACACGTGGGATATAACCGAATACGACAAGTTCACCCTTAGCCTTGACGCTAAGTTCATTCTTCAAAGTGAATCAAACAAAAGTAGATTCGACTCGACTAACATTCGACTAACCTTAACAGGCGTGAACTCATTGCTAGGCACCGAAGGATTCGGTTTCGGTATCAACCTGCCATAACCACACGGTTGTTCGTATATATTCTGTGACAGTGGAAAATCCATGCATTGACAACCATTTATCCATCTGAATTATTCACTGATTTCAGACGAATCGCGATGGAAATCGTTTCAGGTCTGTACGAAGCGAATTCAATGTTTTGTTATTTGGAAATATCGTCGAAGCGATTGAAAACGTGAAATTTTACCTCTTTTTGAATCGATAACGTTTATCAATGAACTGATATTTCGATGCGAATGGAAGAAGTTTGCTCTGTGCGGCGATTTCACCGCAATTGAACATCTTTTTTGGGATTATTTCTTGGCCTGTTGCTTCACTATCATCGGTGTCATGTGATCGTTTTGGCATCACACACAAACTTTTTGATTATCTGAATGAACGATATCATTTAAGAGTGTGCTTGAATGAAGTGCATCTCAAAATAAATCACCTCCGACAAATGTGACCATCAACGTCGTCTGACTTCGAAATAAATGACATCAAATAAATTCTCTTGAAGGATACAGTAATAAGAACTGCGAGAGAAACAACTGTGAAATCACAACTTTACAGTTGAATCATTCAGAATTTGACGTTGTTTCCGAAAGCGAACATCAACAGCGAAGTGAAAATCAGACTTGACTATTGAAAACTTCCGAGAAACGTCTAAAAATCGCACGAAACTCAGTGATTCTGAGAATTGATAATCAGCTACAAAAAGGAGATGAAAATGAAAATTTTGGTGAAGCGGTCTCCAATAAATTGTCGTCATAACCGTGCAAAATAATTCATGATTGAACACGATTTTCAAAATTTTGCAGCAATGATTCAAAGTGAATAAATAACAAATAATCATGAAATTTGCACTTAAAAAGTGTGTTTTGTGTACGGCTGCTTGAAGACAAGCCGTGACTGGTAATATAACTTCGTCGATCGTTAAACGAACGACCAAAGTGCGTTTGCGTTGCGCTTGTGTGTTGGTTATCTCGTCAGTGAATCGATACGAAATGTTTTTATGCTCAAATAAAATGAAAAGAAATCTCAAACATGTGCAAACGTTCCACAGTGGTATCATAGTGTCAATGGATGTTCATGTGTGAAACACTTCTCAGGAATTTGCCTGGAAACGGAAAATGTCAAATCAGTGATAAGCCGTGCGAATGATGAGAAAAAAGGCATTCAATTGATCGCAACAGTGTTAGTTTGTTGGACCGAAAAAAAATTTTTTTGCACACATTCTGTTATGCCAATTTTATTGATGTGTCATCCAAAAATTACACTTCCTGCATAAAAATGCATAAAACATTATCAACTTCGAGTGAGCACGTAACTTTTGTTCGAAGTTATCGAAAAAATGATACAAAATTTGGTAACCCTTCAGAACCTGACTCAAGCGGTTAAGATGAGCGCTAGAATGAGGCTAAACATTATGCTGAGCACCTGGGCGCAGGCGAAGTCAGGCGTTAGACTAAGCCTTAGCCTAGGTTAAGA